AAGGACAGGAATCAGAAAATTGATTGAGGTACGAATATTTATCAGTGGAGGTAATTTGGGCAACCATCTTAAGAAGAAAGTAACAAAATGTTTAACCCCCATCGGATAATGGTAAATATGAGATTAGTAAGATAAACTTCATGGAAATGGCTTTACAGGACATGGAGATATTGTTTTTGGTTTTTCTAATACTACATGTCAATTTAAGCTATCTGTGGCATGCTTATCTTACAACGGCAGACAGACAGAACCTGCCCCAACTCTAATGAAAAATTCTTTATATATTCTATCATAATACCATTGGAATCTTAAATCATCTTACATAAATAAATGAATGGTGCCTTCAAAACGAAAGGAAACAAAATATTTATCACTTTTTTCAAAATGTAAATAGAAAAGAATTGTACAAGTTTGTAATGCACATATTACACATAATATACCTAATATTAAATTCACATGCTACAAGAATTGTTTGTCATGAACTGACCTTTAGTGATGAAAGATTTGCAGAAATTTGACCAAAAGCCCGATTATTTTCTTCCAGAAGATGTCTGGTCGTGCCACCCAGTACTGAAAAAGATATATCAAGTTAGTCCGCTGGTACATAAATAATTCCGTTCACCTTAACTCTAATAAAAGAGCATCTAAATGGTTAGTTCCCTCAATCGTAAGCACATAGGAAGCATAGATGGTATATTCATCAAGAAGCACATAAGAAAATAACGGGAATTTGAAAGACATGATTTAGAATTGCCTCAAGGTTAACAGACTAATTCTTAATAACCCAACCACGTCTAAAAGAAAAGTAAGGCCACATTAACAGAACTAATAAATGTTCGGTGAGCTAGAAGGTTCCAGATGATGTGACATTGTAACCATTGGGTCATTCTTTTCCCTTTCGCTGATACCCAGTTTTTCAAATTTACTCTGCTCTAATCCTCCCTTCTACAAAGATCCATCTTTCTTAATTTTCTTTCCCTATCATTTTCCAGTCACATTGTTCCAACCATCACCAATAGCGCTATACACGACATAGCACGCAAGCTGAGGACAAAACCACATGGTAGCATAGCAGCGACATCAGAGCATGTTGGGATGTAGTGCATGGTTAGCTTTTGGGTTGTGTTACTCCTTTCCATACACTGCGTGAGGCCCCCAGGTCTCTTACAAATTGGCTCAGTGGGACCAGCACCCATTTAATAGAACGTCTAAACACTTCCTACATTTTGAGCTAAGCAAACAATAATAACAATACTAATAATGTAATGATGACATGGATATAATAATATAAAAAGGAAATCAAAGAAGACAGCTGGACAGTCTAACAGCTATCCCATTTTATTCTTCATTCACGGTTCCTGCAACCTCCACGTGGCCTTGACTTCCTCAAGACAGAAACTCAACTTCAATTTCCTTTTCCTTAACAATATCGTTTTCATTTATTTTTTGTCCTCTCTCTTGCTTTGCCCCTTTCTCCATTTTCATTATTAATTTCCTCTCACTTTGACTGCAGACCGCAACATGCAGTGTTACGAACATTTTATAATATATATCCAAAACAGGTTAGTGGGCTTATGGCCTATAGGGTTAAGATATCCATTAGGTTAGGATACTATTTCACAAGGAATCATTATGTGAGAGAGGACGATTACAAGTACTTAGGATACTCATATTTTGCTTATTTACACTTGACTCTATAATGAATAAACACATTGGGCACTCGGAGCACACAACTTCCACCCACATACAGACATATTCACACCACTATCTCACACCTTAACCTTCCATCTTACACTTTACACCGTGCTACACCACTGTTAGTGTCGCCTCTGCCACATTTTCATCCCATCAGGAAGCATCCCACCCTAGCTACTAAAGCATTTTATGTTTATGTCAAGCACAAAAGTAATTTCACTTATTCAAGCATCAGCTTAATTTGTACGACTGAAAATCAACAACACATAACCACACAAACCCGGCCACAGTTTGAGTTTAAAATTCCATTGAAATTCGTAGTGGTTTTTCTCACATTCTTACCATGTATTAAAACTGGAATCGTATGCCAAATTTACACAAGACGACATGAAGGTTCACACTTTGACTCAAATTCATAAGTTGGGGGAATATACGTCATATCCATTAGGTCGAGCCAATAGAGAAGTTTCATATGTGACAAGTTGTCATGCCTCCCCATAGAATCAAATCCATTCTTCTTTCTTGTGCGATTATAATAGAAAAAGGTAATCATGTAGACAAGAAATAGAATGTATGGATACAAGATACAACAAAATATTCAATTTACTCCTCTTTCTGTAGAAGGTATTCAGAAAGTACTTCCAATTTCTAGTAAAAGCAAAAAACAAACCTCCAGATAGCATGTAATCACTTGGATGTTGATGGTTTTTAGTTAGTGAATATCCAGGCACATGCATTGACGAAGCTGAAGAGATGGTGTTTTTCGTAGTTGACTCCGTCAATTTATCCTGAGAAAATGGGAACTTTTCAAATCAAGATTTTCCTATAGGTAGTAAGTTCTGAATCATGGGTCAGTCTAAACATAAATGACAGCAATAGCTTTACTAGTTGAAGTACATAATTCTGTTAAAGTAGGCCAGAACATTTCTTCAGATAGAGTAAGCACAAAGCAACTTATCATCGTAAAGGTTTTCTGAATCATGGACCAGCCAGTAATCATCAAGAAAGTTAGGTACAATTATCAATAAGTTTATATTAACCACTTTTCCACATAGTTGTTAAAGAAGTGCTCGAGAGGTGCAAACTGCAGCGGGTTCCATTTAGGAGTAGAGAAGCATGAAAGCAAGATTATGGAATATGAGTTGATGGTCTTTCTTGATGACATCTACGTTTGCAACATTGGGATAGATAAATCAAATGCCAACTACGATATGACAATAGAAGCATAATTGGAGGAACATAATTCAAGCATAATTAGACTTTGCGTTATCTTCAAATCAAAGAAATTGTGGATGCATAGGTAATACTTCTTAGGCTACAACTGAACAGTTTCCCTCAACTTGATTCTGACCGTTAGAAAATTTCAGAACTACCTGAGTGACCAGTTGTAATTTAGCACCACTAGATAGGAACTTACAATATACTTTTGGGTTCTGCAGATCACAATACGTCCATATAGAGATAAATGACATCATATTATTTAGCACAAAGTGTTCACAAGCACTATTGGTTGGGGGATACCTTGCGATCCTTCACTTTCTTCCCCGAGCTCTCGTCCTCTGGCTTCCTTCTCTTTCTCTGTAAAATAAAATTGGTAACATCTCAAAATGAAAGAATAAAACATTCACTGTAGATTTTTTTGGGGAATAATAAGGGTTACAAAGAACTTACGTTCATCCATCTACAGCGAAGAGCAACATCACGAACGGACTTGTCCTGGAGTGAGGCAGCAATCTTGATATAGCGCATAATATTGGGTTCATTTGCATATCTACAAATTGAATAAGTGGTGAAGAGAAGAGAATTAGTTGGATTACTTGAGATAGTGTGAGTGTACTCAGTTCGGAATACCTACTTGACCAGTCCTTGCTCCAGCTTGTACTGTTCATCGATGGACCATTCTACAGCGAGACCAGTGTCGTGCTTCAGCCCAGGGATGAGCGAAGAATCCAACAAGGGATTGCTGTTGCTATTACTCAAAATCCCAGCTGCAATCCCATCGTAGTTATTGCTAGGGCTATCGTTACAGTAATTCCCAGCCATGGCAGGAATCAGCGAGCCACTGCTACTGTTACTCATCGCACCACCAACACCAACGCAGCCCGAAGAACTGTTACTGTTGTTACTACTGTACAACTTAAACCCGCTGTTGTTGGTGGCCATTACTCTGTGAAACTGCAGTGAAAAGGTAGTATTATTCTCAGAACAATCGCAAACATCTATCTGATTGTTAGTCGATCGAACAGTTCCAGCTCAATTTTCAGTGCCACGACAATCTTCTTTCGTGTGTGTGTGCGTGTGGGGAGACTGGAGAAGATTTATCAGTCTATCACTGGAGAAGATGGTACTCCCTTGTGAGATTTTCTATAAGTGTTTCCTAGTTGCTAGCGGAGACACATTTCCTCTTTTCTTCTAAAATCTATACTTTTATATAAACACCCATCTCATCTACTATAATTAGAATTAGTAGGAAGAAAAGTCAAAATAATTAATGCATTTTATTTTTATCAATTAATTTTTATTTAATTGTTTTTTTCCATAAAATCGATACAAAAAAAATGTACGTAAAACAAAAAAAGGCAGATTTGATCGGAAGATAAAATTTGATTTTAAATTGAAGGGTTTGGTTGTCTATACAGATATTGATTTACGTAAATTTATAGCTTGTATAGATTTAAAATTCTTTCTTATCATTGTACAAAAAGTTCTTATCTAATTGTATGAAAATCTGATCTAATTGTTCTTCTACATATAATGTTTTTCGTATATCAAGATATTTTCTTAAAAATCTTAACAGATATTGATTCTACTCTACCAATTATTATAAATCTCAAATATTGAGTCATCGTCCTCCTCGCTTTCAACCTCCTGCAAAAAAAAATATCTCCAATCAGTCTTTCATTCAAGACAATGAATCAATGATTTGCTTAATCAAACAAGTTAATAGGTCTAATAGACTTATGCTTAAAGTTCGAATTGTAAGAATGTTTTTCCAATACTGGGGCAGCACATACAAATCCTATCTCGAGTTGGTTCTGCATGATAAAACTGTAAGCCAAATTATTTTTACTTCTTTTTCTTTTCGAAATATGAAACGTATATCTCGATTTTTTTTATTTTATTTTTAAAATTTAGAATTTGTCTTATTTTTTCTAAAAATCGTGTATACATTTAGATATTTATATTATTTATGTTTTTTAAACAAATTAATTTTTTATTGATTGCTTTTTTGTACATGTTTAGGGAAACCGCATTACGACATGGCTACAGGCAATCAACTTGACTGCATGGTCATTTTTGATAATATATGATTGTTTCTTTGTCCAATGCTATCTTATTGTACAATTTTCCTACGTATTATAAAACTTTTATTTAATATTGCATCTTATAATATAATATTCTCCAAATAAATATATCTCGTGCCTCGCACAGGTCACGTACTATATATATCTCGTAAATTTTTCTTTATTCATGTATATAATTATAAGCCTGGATAAATGGCCTTAAAACTGTGCACGGGTTAAGAAAAATGTTACAAGTACATAATAAATGTACATAGAGTGTACATAACATTCACATGAAGTGAGGTCTACTCGTAAGTTCTTTAGATTGCAAACCCCAAATTTGCGTATAGTACATGTTGCAAATTATTATTTACCCTTATAATTGTTGATACAAAATTATATTTTCATATAAAAGGACAATTCAATTACTTGTAATAAAAACCAAAATAAAAAATAAAAAATAAAAAAGTGAAGGACAATATCAAATAATTTTTACAATCATTTCTTTATTACAAGTTATCTATGATCTTAATTATTTAGCATAAATTTATACTGTTGATCAACAGAACGTGGTTTTTGCTAATTTGACCTAAAAATTACCATAAGCCAATTTTTTTATTTATTTATTTACGAACAATAGGCAATTTTGCATCATTTTTGTAAGTTACTATGCCATTGGTTAATTTATGATTTTGATTGGCACTTAACGAATATGTGGAATAGCTAATACCAGATAGGTGATTGAAAAAACATATTTGACCAATTAATTGAGTGGCGGGTTATTTTATATTTTATATAAATAAGTTAACCAATCAAGAGTTTAGATAATTTACTAAACAAAAGTTGTTTTATATAAATAAGTACTAGATATTTTGTTTGAATTATAAACTTTCAATGTTAGTTGAATTTAGTCTTAACTAAAATTTAGGGTTACTTCTAAAGTTGATTTAAAAATAAAATCTTTAGTGTGATGAAATATTGATGAATGTTGGATTTTTTTAAAAAAAAAAAAATCATATAAAAAATAAAATTTAGCTAGGTGGTCATTCAAAAAATTTAAAGAATCAAAAGAAATATCCAAATATCCGAACCGAATCAAACTGAACCGAACCGTTCCGATAGTCCCGAAAACCGAACCGAACCGAACCGAAAAATAAAAATCTCCGAACCGGACCGAACCGATTTTTTGGTACGGTTCTGGAGATCGAATTTTAGTGATCTCCGAACTTCGGTACAGTTCTAGAGATTTATCAATCTCCGAACCATACCGACCCATGCTCACCTCTACCGCTAGGGCTAGCCCGTTTAACTTAGGTTGGATGGTGTACATGTTTTTAAACGGCTTTGAGACTTCATATTCTAGGCAATTAATTATGAAGATCTTGAAAACTTTACAATGGAGAATATTTGTCCAAGATCTTGAAAACTCGGGACTAAGGAAGATGAGTACATATTTAAAAGTCTTCATTTTTTGTGTCACTAAGAGAGAAAGAGAGTTCTACTTGTATTGAGAATTTTGAGAAACCAATGGGCTCGTTATTTTTTCAGTCTATTTCTATTTCATAGACTTGGCTGAGCTTTCAGTTCGTAAAGGTTGACAATCATATCTTTTTGGTTTTCCTCATGACACTCGAATGAATGTTGGTGTGTCTTTCACGTGTTGACCAGAAAATTAACTAGTTAAGATGAATGCTAGAATTTCAAATAAGTTATATAGTCTAGTGTAAAAACCTGTAAAAACCAAAGAAAAAAAAAACATTCTTAGAGATTCAGAAACTATTTGGTGGTAGGATGGTAAGAATGATAGATAGTGATTATTCAAACCAATAATAGATAATTAAGCCAAATACGTTTACAAAGGAAAAAAAACATTATTAGAGATTCAGAAACTAATTGGTGGTAGGATGGTAACAATGATAGATAGTGGTTATTCAAACCAATAGTACATAATTAAGCCAAATGATGGATGATATGGAGTAGGCAGTGTTTGATAAGATTATTGATCAGGTGACGAGGCCGAGGTTGAGGATACCCCAACCATTTTGTGGCCAGGACCTGTCCTTAGCCTTGTTGAGGAGTACCCTTCCCCACGCAACCCATCCCTGCCACGTCATCCTCTTATCCCACGGGCTGCCCCACTCCAGCATCAGCCTCAGTCCTCTACGCACCGCCTTCTCAGCCGATTCAAAATCCCCTTTCCCCAAATACATCTGCCCCAACACCAGCAGAGGCTCCCCCACGAACGGATTCTTCTCCACACTCTCCAAAAGCTTCTCCTCCTCCTCAACCCGCCCTGCTCTCCCGCTGCACACTGCCTCCCAGTACAGATCCCTCGCCTTCACCTGATCCCCCGAGTCGACCACAGCCTTGCACCAGTTGAAAACCGGAGGAATAACCAGCTCCAGATCGTCATCATGATCAGTACTACTACTACTATATATATTATTGGTGGTGGTGGTGGTGGTGGTGGTGGCAGCTATTATCTCTTCTTCTCTGACGATGAGCCTGTATATCGCGCCCATCCTCGACACGTAGTTAAGCCAGAGTCCCGGCTTGCCGTCCCCCGGCCAGAGACACGTCCTGGCATTATTCCCCAAGAAATCGAGCCGCCCGTCCACGTTGTCAAACAGCACGTCCTGAAAACCAAACAGCTGGTCGCTGAAGTCAGCCATGGTGAGCAGTAGAAAACTGGCCACCACCCTCCTGGGGACCACTACATCTTCTCCCGTCCGGATGTGCTTCACCTTCACCCCTTGCACGGGGCACACGGACTGCAACTTGGCACGCCAACTGTCGTCGTCTACCCCGCTGAGGCTGAGGCTGAGGTGGCGCACGAGCTCGGCGTCGTCATAGTAACGAGACATGATGAGGTCGTGGATGAGGTGCTGGCGGGGGACGACGCAGAAGAGGTGGATGAGGTGCTCGGCGGCGGGGCCCACGTGGGCGCGCACAATTTCACGGCCGTTCTCGGAGGGAGGGAAGATGGCGAGGTTGACGTAGGAGTTGGAGTAGGCGGAGTGGAAGAGGCCGCAGAGGCGGACTGAGGAAGGGGCGTTCCACATGGTGAGGATGCGGTGGACGCCGAGGAGGTGGTCCAGGAAGCTGCCGTGCTTGTGCCAGCACTCGTCCGCCCCCGCCTGCCTCAGCACCCTCACCAGCTTCTCGTCCACTGACTCCCCGCGCAGCACCGCACTTGCTGATTTCACCACTCCTGCAAGGTATTCATCATTATCTTCGTCACCACTACTATAGTACTTGTTATGATTGTTAGCCATACTTAATTGGTAGATATGATATGTGATGATACTGATATATAAATATCTATTGGAGAGAGAGACGTACGAGTTGATGATAAGATTTGGATCATTGAATGCTGATATATATGATGAGAAAGCGATAGTGCAAACAAAGAGAGCTGTATATCCTGTTAGGAAATGATGATGGGCTGCATAGACTATTCGGTGGAAGAGATAAGCTTCACACCTGCCAATTGACATTTGCTACCGCTCATTAATTACATGCATGATATTTCACTTTCATTCTGTATATGTATTAATTGACTGTTGGACCACAAAAAAAATTAATATGTGATATTGTCTTTTCAAAAGTATGTTTATTGTATTCTACAAATTTGTGATATATGTATATCTTTGCAATGTTTCTAGTTTTAAGAACAAACAACTATACAAGTAACCAACCCAATTGAGTATATAGTATAACTCAAATTTTAATGCAGCCCAAATTTAAGGTATTCCAAGTAAACGCTAAATTTATGATTTTTTTTATCTGCAGGAACTTCACGACCGGAGTCTGAGGGTGAATTCTGTGCCCCCACCTTCCAAGAGTGATAACTCTTCATTCCGGGGGAGCCCAAAGTGGTTATGGGTCCGGGCCCAAATCCAGGTCTGGGAAAATGGGAGGTCTCGGGGTGAGTGGGAATGTTAAGGAGGCTAGTGTGGTTTATGACAGGGAAAGTGGGAGGTCTCGGGGTTTCGGTTTCGTGACGTATAGTTCGTCAGCCGAGGTCAACAAGGCCATTGAATCGTTCGATGGGATGGAATTTAATGGAAGATCTATTCGAGTTAGCCGTGCTGAGTCTCGCCCGAGGCGCGAGTACTAGTGACCTCTGAAATACTTGAGATTCTCAAAAGTGGTTGAATTATTGATGGAGGAGATAACAAAGAGTTGAAGCTTCATTGATGTTCCTGATCAGTATAAGATAAGTGGAGTACTTTTGTGTGTTGAGACCCAAATCTGCAAAAAATGGGATTTCAACTCCTTCGGTTTTCGGATTGAACCTTGGATGACTTGTGCCACAAAAGGCTAAAAGGATCTGTGAACGCTTATGAACTATTCCTAATCTATGTTTGTGTTTTTCTTAGAAATGAAATTATGTAATAGTTCATCTAATACCTCTTCTAGCAGAGGAATTTGTTTTTTGGAGACTATCTGGCTTGCAGATTGTTTTTAGGTCATGCATTGATATCCAAAAAAAAAACTACTCCACTGCTATTTCAATAAGCAAAATCAAGAAAACCAACTATCTTGAGAGATAAACTACAGCTGAAGAAGGAAGAAGACGAGGCCATCTCTAAATTCAAGAAACAAATTAAAATCTTAAAAATCTTAATAACATATGAGACAGAATATAGAGAAAGGTAATAGAAAGTTTAAAGAAACAATCTGAATTTATAATGCGAAAAGGGAATTACTCAAGTTGAACCACAGAGTTTAGAGCTGCTTGTGCTTAACCAGTTTTTAGCCACGAAAATTATAAATGTGCCTCCAAGAATCTTTGATAGAGATTGCACTCTAATGGCCAATTAACATGTTGTTGTCTTGAATTAACAACTTAAAATTAAACACAGCTGATGTAAAGAAAACAAAGATAATTATTCAATTTGATTTTATTTTTTATATTCACAAGAGTACAGGAGTCGGTTATTTGTTGAAAACCGAGATCATCATAAGTCCGTGTACAATGTGTTCGGAAAGATCTTCGTACTATCATAAATTCTACTATTTATAGTACGGTAATTTTTGTCTTCTTGCTCGAAATGGATAAAGACGCATTCAATGTTGAGCTGCTTCATTTTAAGCGGTGGGGAACATCAATGATTGTTTTTTCATTTTGTTGGTCCAATCAGATACGCCCAATGATCACTTTCTCTTCAGATATTTGGACTTTGTGGTAGTCGGTCGAAATAAAGGAATCTGATTTCGTCATAATATTTGTTGAACTGAAGTCGGTGTACTCGTATTAGCTTCAGATATCGGTTCTTTTGAAGATCCTCGGAAGTCGGTAATTCTTCATAAGTCGGTAATTAATTCTAAATAATTCCGACTTGCTGTAAGTTGTTATTTCTTCAATAGTGATTAATCTTTGTCTTTAATTTCTGCAATCAAGTCGGATATCAACATAACACTTTAGATCAACATGTCGAGAAACAAGGAACATAAAATTATTATGTAACATGATCACGAGTTCTAAATTTTTCTATTTCAGCAGAAAAAAAGCCATAAATAAAAGATGTAAAGCATAAATTACCATAAAATTTAATTTGTTCTGAAACTTATCTTTTCTCTTTTTGAGTTGCTTCTAAATGCCCAAGGGGCATTGCTCAAACTAACTCCATGACCATATGACAGATGAAAAATGAAGATATACGCAGATTCCATATGTTGAATATATTAGAAAAAAATGAAGCTTTAGATTCCGAGTTAGGAAACGGGGACTCGTTTTCTTGGAAATTCACTCGATTCTAGACGAAGCTCAATTTCTCTCGGTCGAGCAAGTGCTGAAATCTCTTGTGGAAGGCAACGCGATCGGTAAGGAGTGCTCGGGAGTAGTCTATCGCATGGAGCTCGAAAACGGCGAAGTGATCCATGTGAAAAAGCTCTGGTCGACACGATGCGTGCCGGTTTTAACAACAACGACAGCCGGTTCGATGCAGGTGGGGTCCGTGACTCATTCTCGAAGGAGGCAAAGACACTCGGGTCCATCTGGGAATATCGTCAAGTTTTTGGGCTGCTGCTCAAACCGCAACACAAGGCTGCTTATGTACGTTTACATGCCAAACGAAAGCCTCTGGAGCCTGCTTCACGAGCACAGACGAGGCTGCCTGGAGTGTAACGTGATGCTGCTTATGTACGATTAAATGCCAAACGGAAGCTCGTCGATTTCCTCATCCTGGCCGGGAGCTTCACCGAAAACAAAAGATTAGTTCTTTATCAAAATCTATGGTCGTTCAATGCATGCTAACGCTCTTTATCATTTGAATAAAGATTGAACTAAAAAAAAAAAATTGCAATCCAAAAGGTTATTTTTTTCTTCCATATTTCTGCTAATTTTTTCCTCTTGCTTGCTTGCAGCAGCCACTATTACAAGGATGTGGCATGTTGGAAGAAAGATTACGGGAGTAGTTGTGGTATTTTTTATGTAGATGATTTTTAACCCTTGGATCTATTTTTATTTATACTTAATCCAAGGGTTGAAATTTTACAACTGGAGCAGCTTACTCACAGCAGCCCCCGGACCCAAAAATTCCTAGTATTGACAAAATCATTTGTTAGACTCGACGAACAAAACAACTACTGGATGCCAGTTGGTGATTCCACTGTGTCCTATCAACAACTAATATTTGTTTGTTCAATTTACAATAATTATTTATATAACAATCTGTCCGGCCGCCGAGATTCTCCATGGCCGGCGGTTCCTGCATAAACGACAGACTGGGTGACGACGAACTTCGGGCCGTTCTATTCAAGCTGGAGCTCGAGAAGGACAAGGAGGTGTTTGGCCTCGTCTGCAAGCGGTGGCTTCACCTCCAGAGCACGGAGAGAAGGATGCTCCGCGCTCGGGCCGGGCCTCACATGCTCAAGCGCTTGGCCGCTCGATTTACGCGCCTCCGCGAGCTCGACCTATCTCAGTCTGCCTCACGATCATTCTTTCCCGGCGTCACCGACTCAGATCTGACCGTAATTGCTGCCGCCTTCTCCTCCTTGAGAGTTCTGAATTTGCACAACTGCAAAGGTTAGAAGAACCTTTTTTTTTATGTGTTAAAATTTGATAAACAATTTTATTCATCTTGTTGTTCGTTTCTGATACCTAGTTGACGATATGACCTTAATCTGTTGTGGCTTACATTTTATGATAATCTTATTAGTGATTATTACCGATGGTAATTCAGCAAAAGAATCGATTTTTTTTTAGTAAAATTATGTTCTGTTTTTCTTTGATTATGGAAGCCCGAAGGTTATTTTCTTTTTTATGAATTGCTTGACTTCTACCTCCGTAATTATTTATATGGTTAATTAAATATTTTGCAGGGGCTAGAGATTTTTCTCTAGAAATTGTTTCTTTTTTTAAATCCTATTATGATTATTTTCCCTTGCAAAGTGACTGAAGTTTAATGCTGTTTGTATTGTTTCCATGCTTCATCTTTATTCTTGTTCTAGATATAGTGTGAATTGCTGTTTTGCCTCTAGTGAAAGAAGCTAATGAATAGGCTACTCGAATTTGATCTTGCTGCCAGCAATCCAATCCATTTGTAGAGGACAAGATGATAATAAGGACATCAATTGGTGACCTCCACTCCTCTGCACTAGACATGTATTTCTTTATATTTACCCTTTTATCAAATGCTAGATTGTTGCACTTTCTCTTCAGTATGTTAGAGGTATAAGAAACATATGTCAGGAATTATATTTGTAATTCCAAACATGAATTTTCTTTTTCTCTCATTTTTTTTTCAATGAGGCTAAAATACAACCATTCTGGGACCGCTGCAATACACCCCCTCTCCCCTATCCTTCAGAAAACCCGGTGATTACTCTCTTAGCCTGTCTGCTTTTGTACTCAAGTCAGTTGGAGGATGTCTTTTTGATATACTCTATTCAAATGGTACTTGTCATATGGTTTGGAAAGTAGTTGAGTTGATTTTATTTTTCTAAGTAAATGAGATGGTAGTGGATTATATTATTGATTTATCAATTGCTAATAGACAAGACATAACCTATTTTAAAATATTGGAAAATCTGGAACATCTCGTATTAGTTAAATCTATTGCAATTGTCTTTTGTAAGCTTTGGTAGTGGGAAATTCTCAGTTGTGTTACTCCTAATCCCATCTATTTGTTGAGCTTATCATCTTCCATAAGATTGTTAAGTCAGGTTGAAATTCCTCCCACTGGCACCTTAATCTTGTTTTAGCTAGGGCGGTTATTTGGGAAACCAGTTTTGTCTGCGGAACTTGAAATTTGTTCCAGAATTTGCTTTGTTTAGAAATCAGCTTCATCTATGGACTTGGTTGACTTTTTGGCAAAATAGTTCTGTATATCCTTTAAGTTGTTTAGTTTTTGTTCTTTAATTTCTAGCTTTTCTCTCCTCTTCGATGTATGTGCAGAATCAGGCTCTATATCACAGTTGTCCATCACGGATAAATATTGGTTGATACACTAACATAATTGTTGAGATATAAATCTCTGTTCAAATTGATGGAAAGGTTGCTTCTGTAGATTCTTGATCTTTTCATAAAAGGACTATTGTTGGCTGCAAATCAAGATAAAACGAGTAGATCTATCAAGTTTATGGAAGAAATGTAGCTAGGCAGCTTTGCGCAACTTTCGAACTGTGAAGATTGAACAAAATGTGCTTATGCACCGCATTTCTGGTTCAATTAGACATTATCTACAATAGTGTATGGATTTTAAATTTCTTTATCTTCCCCATGTGATGAACTGTACATCTTTAGAATTTGGCCACGAAATAATTAGATAGTAGCCTAACTTGTGTGGTGAAGAATATCATAAAGATGTTGATGTGTATTTGCATTCTCTTGCGATTAATCTCTTCTGGGAGCAACTGAATTGATTATGACTTATTTGTGTTGATCTCTAACGTTTGTAAAGAGCAATATTTCGCAAATGTGCAAAAGGAAGTGTCTAAAATGCCAGATTTTCAGACTTAATTATATCCACTCATGTTCGTACATTAACTGAATTCAAGACTTAAAACCATAATTCTAATTTATCTGTTTCAAGCGCATCAATATCGGGTTGAGGTTTAGAAGAGAAGGAGAATCTCAATGGCTTAAACTCTTTTTTTTTTTTTTATACATGCTATTCTTGATTCTTAAGCATTCTAACTTTTACTAGTCTCATGAATGCTGAGGAATCATGAGGATTGGTTTGCTAAACTGTTATGCTCAGTTTTCTTCAGAATAAATTTAGTCGATAACAGATTACTCGTTTTCACTGCAGGTATAACAGATAAAGGGATGGATGCAATTGGATGTGGGCTTCCTTTGTTGGAGTCTCTGGATATATCCGAGTGCAGAAAGGTGGGTGATAAGGGTTTGTCATCCGTTGCAAACGGGTCTCGTAATCTGAGATCAATCCGTGCTGCAGGTTGCAGACTCGTCACAGACGCTCTCCTTAAAGCACTGTCCATGAGTTGCACTCATCTTCAAGAACTGGATTTGGCAAAGTGCTCCAATTTAAGCGACTCGGGTCTCGCCCTTCTTGTCGAAGGCTGCAAGAGATTGAGACACTTGAACCTCAACAAATGCACTAACATTGGAGATTTCGGTATATGCAAGGTGGCCGAAGCCTGTAACTCGTGGCTATCGACTCTCGAGCTGCTCGATTGCTTCAGGATTGGAGATGAGTCGATACACGCCATAGCGAAATATTGCAACAATCTTGAGACACTAGTGGTGGGTGGGTGTCGGGACGTGAGCAATGAGGCCGTAAAGACTTTGGCGTTTGCGGCGTGTCAAACGAGTCTGAAGAGTCTGCGAATGGACTGGTGCCCGAACGTTTCGGACGAGTCATTGGACGGCGTGCTGGCTCTCTGCACCAAACTTGAGGTCCTTGACGTTGGGTGCTGTGAGCAAGTGACAGATGGTGCCTTTCGGAGTTTACAAAGTAATGGCCGCGAGTCGACTAGTAGTTTGAAAATTCTAAGGGTGAGCAACTGTCCGAAGATCACGGTGCATGGGATCGCCACTATTTTTGAGTCGTGCGCGGGTTTGGAGTATGTCGATGTGAGATCGTGTCCCCTTGTAACTGAGGCTAGGTGTCGTGAGGCTGGGCTCAAGTTCTCGGAAGGTTGCAAGGTGAATTTCACTGGGAGCTTAGCGGCAGATCCAGATGTGTTACGCTAAGAAAGAACTTTATATGAAGACCTAATATTGGCATGCGGTATTCCTGGAGTCCCGTCCTTTGTCATGTATATTCACTTCACCCAGCAATCTGTGTTTCGTCCGTCATTCATGTATATAAGGCAGTGATTTCTGCCCCATATTCTGTTGCCATTTTCATTCACTAGTAAAGTGCACGTGCATCGCACGTGGCGCCGAATGTTTTTTTTGCCGATTAAGTTTAGTAAAATAAATTAATTAATTTATTAAACATATCATTGCAGGAACAAAATAAAATATAGAACAAATAAGCTAGCTCCTAATGTATTTTTTTGTCCAAATATGACATAACGATGTACTAATATAAAAAAAATAAAATAACATATTACAACCCCGGCAAAAATACATGAAAAATGAATCCATATTTTTTTTTAAAAAAAGACACTAAATAACTAAATAAAGACAATGTATATTATAAATGCATTAGTTCTTTTTTTTTTTATTTATGTTTGATTATTCAAGAGTGATTTTCTTTCATTTTAGTTTTGACGTTCTCATAATAAAAACATTCATACCGATTCGAATTCTATACATCAATAGGCAATTTCTTCTTAAGTCATTAGGCAAAAAGTCTACTTTATTCAAACAATGCAAAATATTTTGTCCAAATATATAGTCAAATCCTATGATTATGATCTTTATAAAGTATTGCTAATAACAATTAATGAATATCTCTGTGAAATAATCAACCGTGTCACTAAAATTGCTGATATTATTTTTTTTTTAAACTACTACATTATTCTCTCTCCATATAGACAGATTGATACCTCTCCCATGGGGTGAGAATGAGTTTTATTTCCAAATAAAAGTTGACCTTTCAAAATATTGGTTACATATACTTCTCCCGAGACGCTAAATTATTTTTTTAAATCATCACACATTACATGAAGACTAAATTATTTTTTGAAATCATCATACATTAAATGAAAGTATATACTCTGGAGTACTTGCACATATGTTCGAGCACAATACTCCAATAAAATTGTAGATATTTCTATCAAAATATAATAACTTCATTCAAAAATTCAAAAATATTTTTATCATGCTCCGACATTTCTTTTTCAATGTTATTTATTTTGAAGATAGACGAACTATATAATATGTTGGTTGCAAATTATTGAGCAGCTTGGTTGATCCAATGATTTCAAACGCTTTTATTGTCCAAATTTTTGCATCAATCATAAAGTTTTAAAAATTTATGATAAATATCTTTTCTTGATTCTTTAACAATGAAAAAAAAANNC